ACATGTACATGCTCGTGTGTGTGATCTCTACGGAGCAGTGCTGTTCTAGCCCATTTCACCCTGAATGAGAAGCTGCAGCGGATGGGTGTGTTGGGTTGTGTCCTCTGTATAGTCGGGTCAACCGTGATCATCCTCCATGCACCTGAGGAAGAGACACCAAGATCAGTGACACAGATCTGGCACTTGGCAACGCAACCTGGTATTACCTACTATCATAAATACTAATAACTAGTCTTTTATATATCAACACGATCTGAAAAAACACATCTTGATATTTTTTTTAATTCTGATGTAAATCCTAATAAAAACATGATTTTCAAGATAAACTGGTTTGCATTGTTTTTCATATGTTTACCTAATTCATAGTCTAGTTAAAAGCATTGACTGATGCGTTTTGACTTTTGAGACAACATGTTGGGTCACCAAAACGAACCTATTGGGTTTTGACATACAGTCTGTAATGTCTCTTCTTGCTTTCTGCAGCCTTTCTTTGTTATGCGGTCTCTGCATTGGTGATCTCACTGATCTTGATACTTCACTGCGCACCCCGTTATGGCCAGACCAACATAGTGGTGTATGTGGGAATTTGCTCGGTGATAGGATCTTTGACGGTAAATGATGTCCATTGGCATACCTTCGAGACCAGCTTCGTTTTGTTTTTTATGGAGTATTTGTTTGCCTTTTCTTTTGCTAGGTAATGAGCATTAAGGCGGTAGGCATTGCTATCAAGCTTACAATTGAGGGTATAAACCAGGCTGGCTATTTCCAGACTTGGTTGTTTGCAACTGTTTCAGCAACATGCATAATTATTCAGTTAATTTACCTGAACAAGGTACAGCCAGGATTAACTTTAAAATTTAGGTAACAATATTTACAATTTTGATTTGCATCTCCACGTCATGTTGAACTTCCAGGCATTGGATACTTTCAATACCGCAGTTGTTTCTCCCATCTACTATGCGATGTTCACATCCCTCACAATTTTAGCAAGTGCCATAATGTTTAAGGTATTCTAATTTTGCAAAACTTCCATACATTCCAAATATTTTATTCTTGCGGAACTAAGGTTTTGTGATTACAACTAGGACTGGTCCGGGCAGAGTATAAGCAGTATTGCTTCTGAGATTTGTGGGTTTCTTACTGTGCTTACTGGTACTGTTGTACTGCATTCTACAAGAGAACATGATCCAACCCTTTCTTCAGGTAAATGCTTCTTAGTTTAACGAATCATGATTTAGTCCTTCTCTACTGGAAAGATGAATGTTTGCTATGTGATACATCATATGCACTTTTGGCTTGACGACTACATTATGCAAACATGCTTACCATGTTCTCCCAGAACTTAGCATAAGACCTTTGGTCACTGATGTCATAAATTGCCCATTTCCAAATTAGTAGCCTTATAGCATTAGAGCTCTTTACTTAGCGCTATGGTCGTACAGAGTATCAATTTGGCAATCTTACTGAAGTTACATTCAGTTTTGTAGCAGGGAAAGTCGTTGACTAGAAAATCTGTATGGTAAATTTGTTTCAAGTTACCCATTTCTCCCTTGCCAGCCTTGTATTGTCGATTCTAGCATAGAAGTTGTAGTTGTTCAGAGTTGGTACTTTATGCTACTATTGTACTCTCTCCGTCCCAAAAAGAATGCAATTCTCGTTTTTAGAAGAGTCAAATGATTTGAATTAATCAAAATTATACAAAAAGTACTAACATTTATAATATAAAATAAGTACCATTACATTAATTATGGAATGTATTTTCATAATAAACTTATTTGGAGACACTATAAATTTGGTCAAACTAGAGCTTGTTTGACTGACACGAATCTCATAGTTGCATTCTTTTTGGGACGGATGGAGTATTGGGTACCAATTCTACAATCCCTGCTAAAGTTGGTCAATTTTTTAGCAGCAAAGTTGGTTGAATTGAAAAGTTATTTGGTGATTTGCTACGAGTACCTGGAGATTGTTCTGTTGATGTTGTTGTCAGGACACTATTTATGGATCGAGAGATGGTCCACCATTTCTAAGTTTTTGAAATTGGACCTGCCACCAACCACTTTTGATGTGCTGACTGCTGACATGTGTGTCCTTTTTAAAAGCTTTAAAGTTTGTTTCTAGATTGTTTTGCAAGGCCACAGAACCTAGCTGTTTTTATGTATTCTTGTTCTTCAGAAAAATTAAAAAGAATTAATAGCTTTTCTTGATAGGTATTGATAGATATCAACTTCTCCATGTGAAATCTTTTGGCTTATGAAATCTGAATCTCGTATCAAAAGCGATACAGTGGTAGCTAACTATTTTTCTTTTACAACTACAGATCTGTACGCTCCTCTTTCCCCAATATATTGGCATATCCAAGGCACCGGTGAAACAGGAGGAAAACTGAAAGAGGGTGATTTACTCTCTGGCGATTTCATTACCGTGGTACGACAAGACTACTTTGTGTAGAGACCTTCCACGATGCTCAATGTTCTTGATTAAAAAAAAAGAGAACACTATCGAAGGATCCTACTGATGCTCAGTGTACTGCGGCTCTCCGCTCTCCCACTTTGCGTGGTTCATCATTGAGAAACTCGTTATGCTTCCTATGCTCGTGATGTCTCAAGAGTCAAAGGCAGTCTTTCTGTGGCCGCTGGACTGACCCGAGTAATTGCTAAGTTTTGTAGAAATGGTTAGGATTTGTTGAAGTTCCAGTTTGATCACAGGCACCCGGGCCGATGCCTTGTAGTAAGATGTAAGCAATCTGTCTAGCCTGCTGGGTTGAGCAAGCTTTGCTGCAGTGTATCAGGGTGGTGCAGCTGTTGTATTTATATATTGTACAGTCTAATGTGAATGTATGAATTAGAGCTAACAGAATCTGCGAAGATATTGCTCCTGACTTGTGATGCTTTTTTTATTGCTTCCTGATTCAAAAGTTATGATGCAAGACAGCAATGTACATAGGGCCTGTTTGGTTGCCCTGCACAACCCCTTCTCCAGGCTCCGATAATGCAAAATAGACTTCATTGGTTACATACTTACATGTATAGTCTTGTGCAGCATAGCACTGTCCTCAAAGCAGGGCTCATCTGCATCCAATTGTTCCCAGAAATTCGGGCGTATCCACTCTGCAGAACTGGACCGCACCCGCTGTGCAAGGGCCTTGCACCCGCTGTGCAGTCCACCGCACCCGCTCTGCAGAGCACCCGCGGCTCCGTTCCCTGCCCCCCGCACTCCCTCCCCAGTTCGTCCCCCGCCGCAAGCACAACACGGTAGTTGCCGCCGCCGCTGCAAGTGCCGTCGAGGTGCACGCCGCGCCAAACGGTTGTCGAAGAGCACGCCACTACCGCACGGGAGCACGCCGTCGCCGGGAGCATGTTGACGTTGCACGGGCCGCCCCGGAGCATGCCGGCGCATGGAGAACGTCGTCATGCACGGGCCGCCGATGAGCACTCCACCGCATGGAAGAACGACTGCTGCGTCGTCCCTTTGACCAACGGCGGCCAGGCGTTCCCTGGTGATGGCCGGCGCATGTGTTTCCCTCGCCAAGCTCGGCATCGTTGTCTGCTAGCGCTCCGCCATGTACGTTGCCATCGCCGTGTGTGCCGGCCTTATACCTCCAATAGGGCTGACTTTGCACTTAATCTGATGATGGCTGGGCCTGTCTTGCCATGGCGTTTTCTTGTTCTTGTCTCACCTGCGTGCGCTGCAGGATGTGGAGGACTGCGCGTGTGCTCTGCGGTGGTGTTCATGGTAGAACGCAGTGAGGGTGTTGGAGGAATTGCCAACTCCAATCTCACGTGTATTAGTCCAACCAAACACGGAATACTATGCAGCATATCACTTTGCATTCAACCAAACAGAAGTATAAACCATGAAATATAGTATATACAAAACCAAAAAACAACAAATTGCATTCACTTATGCAAGCGTAGCCTATGCTGCACAACCCTTGATGTAATGCAATTTCTGTGAGCAACCAATCAGGCCCATAGTTTTTACATACAGGATAGGGGACGTCAAGACTCAGAAAGGTCTCTTTGGATGGTTGACATCACATTGAGGAGGTGTTTGGCAGGAATCCTCCTTTTCTCACTAAAAATGGTTCCAAATAGCTATTCCTGCAAAAGCGTTTAGCAGGGCTCCTCACCTGGAGCAAAAAGAAACCCTCCAAACAGGCCCTGAATCGATCAAGACAAGTTTGCCAAAAATCCCGAGACTCCTACTGTCTTTTGAAGCTCGACGATCACCTCACAGTGAAGTTCGCCTTTTCTCTGCGAGTTTCGCGAATGGGTGCCTAGTCGGACTCGTTAGATGGCTCAGGTAGCACTCCTCGTGGGAATGTGAATCGAGTTTTTTTTTCTCTCTACGAGCTTCATGCATCGCTGTACAAGGTACAAATGAATTTGCAACAGTCGTTGAATGCTGATGCTGCTCCTATATTCTTATACAGCAAAATCCCACTAGCAATTTTTTTTGACATGCAAGATGTCCATCTCAACAGTCCACTATCACTTGCATGTAAGGTGTCCATCTCAACAGTCCACTATCACTTGCAAATAAAGTTCACTAGCACAAGCAATTATGATATTCATATTAGAGAGACATATCATCCACTAACATACGTTTAGTTATCCATATCAGTTTGTCATGCTATCCACTAACATAAGTTAATCTCTCCCTAAGAATTATACCAATAGTTAACTTTCGTTCCAAATCAGTGGGTGTTTTCTAGTTACCACTACACAAAACGCTACTCTACTCTTCCTTCCGCATGCGAGCCGAGCTCAAGCCTGAACAACGAGCCAATCCCAAGGCTGACCAACGAGCCGAACCGGGATCGAGACCAAGTTTGTGTCGAGGTCGATGTCGAGCTGCCGAGTGCCGAGCCTATACTCCTGGCTCGCCCAAGCTCGGCCCGTTGACAGCCAGCCGTATCATCCACATAGGGCGGCATCGCGCCGTTAACTAAAGCCCACCCGTTTCGGCTATCCCACTCTCCCCCTTCTCCCCTCGCCATGGCTGCCGCTTCCTGGGCCGCGCCCACCACCTCCTTCGCGCCGGCGCCAGCGCGGGGGCCGTGGAGGACCAAGGCGGCGCCTTTACCCATCAGGACGCTTCCCCGCCGAGTGCTTCTCAACGCAGTTGGCGAATCCGCCATGGTTCGTGGCTGGCTGATTTATTCACACCAATCGGTTCTTGCTTTTTATCCCTCCTCTTCTTCTGCTGCTTCGATTCGATTATTGTGTTAGATGTTTAGCTTCCGGTAGCCCTCGAATTTGGAGATGTTCGATTGCATTCGGCTGCTCTATTTGGGCGTGCTGAACTGCTGATTGGAATTGTCTTTCTGTTCCACGTACCCCTTCACCCTGCTTATTCTACAGCAACCCTTGTGATGTGTGCTGCCGAGTTGCCAATGAAACCCCCTAGAAAAACTTCGTTGTTGCATGTGTGTGTTTTGTTATAACATTAGTTTCAGAGTCGGCGTCTTCTACTACTACAGAGTTCAGACTGCTAATAATTGTAGCTGTGCAGTTGCGTAAAAGGTTACAGAAGAAAAGAACGAATCACTGTAAACCTGCCCGTTCCTTCAAATCATCAGATTTTTAAATTACAAAAGAACAAAATCGGTATTCACAACCAAAACGGACCAGGTCTTGGGCCAAAAACATAGTTAGGTAAATATCTTTCTGTTACCATCCAATTGTCGACTAACTAATGCCTCAGCTTCAGTCTTCAACTGCTTCTGAAAGCTTCATGGTCATCACTAATTCGTATAAGAGCTCCATTTAAAAAGTAATTATGGCTCAAAATTAAGGGTACTGTTTGCAGCAATTATAAGTTGTATTAGGCGCAGCACAGTCATAGGAATCCATCTGATGCTCTCTGTTTGCTTTGCTCATGCTATGGTGGATTATTAGGTTGCTTCTGGTGACACATTGCTTGGTTTGTATGAGAAAGAGAGGTTAGGTCTCTTGCAGTATGCCGATGACGAGTCTAAAGAAGAGAGGTACTGGGAAACCTTGGATGCTGATTTGCGTTACTGGACCAGATCCCTGCGCCCAGTGCAGGTATACATAAGGTGTGCATTAGTGGAATTAACTCACTAACAAGCATATGAGCTCATCACCATATGCACCATAAAATAAGATAATGTCTGACATATTTATTTTTCCTCAATTGCCAATTCACAGTGGTATCCTGGTCATATTGCAAAAACAGAGAAAGAATTGAGGGAACAATTGAGGCTCATGGATGTTGTTATAGAGATCCGTGATGCTCGGATTCCCTTGTCCACCAGCCATCCTAAGGTTATGCTTTTGGTGATTGCTCATATTTATCTGTACAAAAGAACAACTTCAAATTGTACTGAGTCATGTTATGTATGATCAGATGGACTCATGGCTAGGCAACCGGAAAAGGATCATAGTCTTGAATCGCGAGGACATGATCTCAACTGAGGATAGGAATGCATGGGCTACTTACTTTGCTAATCAGGGAACCAAAGTTGTTTTCTCCAATGGCCAGCTGGGCATGGTAAGATAGCCTGGCAGCTAACTGATTTGGTCTATCTGGCTGATTCCCTGATGCATATTCATTCACTTGCCACCATTTCCTTTGCTGGACTGCAGGGTACAATGAAATTAGGTAGGATGGCAAAATCACTAGCATCTGTTGTGAACACAAAGAGAAAGGAAAAGGGATTACTTCCTCGTCCGGTAATCCATTTGATATCCTGTTGGTTCCTCGTGTTTCATTGGTTCATTTAGTTACTCGTTTTGTGCAAATTAGTATGGGACAGGACTTGCTTGAGACATCATAGAACTCAAGTCTTCTTTCCAAATGATTAGCATAACACTCATAGATTTTGGTTTGAACTAGGCAGTTCCAAGACCATTTCCTTCTGATTATAGTAACCCACTTTTCTGTACATTCATTCATATATACTAGTATTTTGGAACTTGTTTGAAGCTTAATAATATCCTGATCATTCAAGATAAATATAGTGATCAACCAGACATGTTTACTTGGCTGCTTATTTTTGTTTTGCCTTAAGGTTCGAGCTGGAATAGTTGGATATCCAAATGTTGGCAAATCTTCCTTGATTAATCGCTTGCTAAAACGAAGAATGTGCCCAGCAGCACCTAGGCCAGGTGTCACAAGAGAGCTGAAGTAAGCTATAGTAGATGCATACATGTATTTTACATTTTTTTATTGAAGAAACATAATGTATATGTATTGTTTACCCGTACGAAACAATTTTGTATTTGCACTATTGAGCTTCTAACGTTTGAGACTCAACAGGTGGGTTCGTTTCGGAACAGACCTAGAGTTGTTAGATTCACCTGGAATTTTGCCTATGCGAATTAGTGACCAGACATCTGCAATCAAGCTTGCTATATGTGATGATATTGGAGAAAGGTCATACGATTTCGCTGATGTGGCGGCGATTCTTGTGCAGATGTTGATAAGACATCCTGCAGTAGGTCAGTTTTCTTATAAGCTAACAACTACCTCCCCCCCTCTCCAATCACAAATAAGTGCCGTTTTCGACATCCACATGGTCTTCAGAACAACTTTGACTAGTACTTACAGAACTATACTTTTTATGAAATTACGTTTTGAAACAAATCTACTCATCATTTTTCCTGTCCAAATTCTAACACAAGAAGTAATTTATAAACAAGGTTTGGAAATGGTTGACTTCGGACAACCTCAAAACATCACTTATTTTGCGACTAGAGTGAGTGATACATTATAGTTAAGAGATAAGATGATAGTAATACATCCTAAAGATCAGTCTGCTTTTTAAAATCAAACATTTGCATGCTGTTGTTTCATGAAGTATTGATGCTTCTGTTTTCTGCTTGTCTAAATTAATTGCTGATGGACTCATGTCAAACAGGTTCTGAAGCATTTCGAAGGCGATATAGGATTGATGTAGATAGCGAGTGCGGTAAAACGTATGCTTTGACTGATCCTCTCTAGTTCTTTATCCAAAAAAAGAAGTCCTTCTGACATAGTACTAGGAGTTAATGTTCTGATAAAGTTTTTAATAAGCTGCAGGTTTGTCACAAAGCTGTCGGTTCACTTGTTCAATGGAGACACAAGCCAGGCGTCTTTCCGCATATTGTCGGACTACAGGAAAGGCAAATTTGGATGGGTGGCGCTGGAGAGACCTCCAACATGACCAATGGGGATATCAGAGATCCTTGATACAAGACATGTGCTTGTTCATAGCACACAATTTAGTGTCGTTCGTGGCGCCACTCTAAGACAGTTTTCCCTGGACCTGCACCTATATACGAGGAATTAATTCAGAATAGCTGTCCATCTAATGATCCAAAGACACGATACTTTAGAAATGCTCCTGCTGTTATTAGATAGTCCAGAGCAAACGAGCTGATTTGTATGATCAGTTGACTGAGCTCAACTATGTTCTATGTAACGGAATTAGGTTTGAGAAATGAAATAATGTTGCGATGTTTCCTAATTTGGTTGCTCCTATACTTCTGGATGATCTATTAGATTGGGGAACTGGGCAAATTAACACTACGGTTTCCCTGCTTTTAAGTTTTCTGCAAAAAAAAAAAATGATACTACGGTTCATACAAACTATTCCGGCCTAGTGGCCATGAAAACATAGAACACCTAGATCCTTTTTGCCCTCCCTTAGTCCCTTTTCTTTATCAAAACTTGCACTTTCCCTTTCTTGTACAGGTAGAAACGACAGGTAATTTTTACAACATTTTTTCTCCTATTCTATTCGGTACAGGATATACGATACCAGCTTCTCATACCTGTTAGCTTCTCACCAGTCTCTAACGGGCGGCCTTGCTGCTGATACACGACAACTGTTTATATCGCGGCTGGGGTTTCAAGACTGCGGATGACCACATAAATTTAGTTTCCGTTCCAGTTAGCTTCAATGCTCATTGTATTTTTAGGTTCTCAAGCCTGTCAATTAGATCTAAAGCTTTGGTCCTGTCAATCTCGAAGTCAATAACTGGAAGCATGGAAGGCCTCCTAACTGGGAGCAAGTCTTTCCTGTTGCACCGGCTGGAGGGTGGCTGTTGCTCTTGCTCAACCTACTCTGTTTGCTGTGACTTGACTTTGTGTCAAACTCTTGACTTTTGCTTATTCCTGGGACAAATTTCCTGTACTTAACATCCCTTAGCATATCCTGATCCTCTTGGGTGAGAATCGGTGGTGAATTGTTTGTTTTGCCTGCCAACGGTTTGATTGCAGCGCCCTTTTGTGTTGGTGGGCTGACTGGAGATTTGATGGGAGACCTTACACCTCCACTAGCGTTTCTTGATTTACTGATAAGATGATGAAACCACACAACCAGCTCCAGGATAAGTGCTTCAGTCTTCTCCTTGTCAGCATGATACAGTGTCTCGATTCGGGACATGTCCATCTGCCCTGATAGCTTGCAGTTTAATTCAGATCTGCATTAGAAAAGAGATTGTCAGTGACCAATCATAGTTTCATCATTTTCCATTTACATCACTGAGAAACTTCAGTTTCATCAATTTCTGTGTAGAATGATTGTACAGATGCTAACCCTGTATTTGCCCACTCTCCAACCCAACCGAAGCCGTGGTGTGCCCTGGTATGAACAAGTAATTACATTTGAAGTACAATATGAATAATCATTGTGGCTGTAAATAATCAGATCATAGGTGATTAGGTGAGATTAATTACTTATTTGTGTTACTAGCAAAAGGGACAAGCCATCGCAAAATTTTCTCCATTTCTGCTTTGATCCGAGAAGCTGTAAGCTGCATTCATTTAGCAGAATTATGTTCAGGTGCACAGCATGGCATATAGATTCCTATTGTGCATTCATAATAATAGCAATTAGCAAATTTGAGACTCCAGCCTGGCATACCTCTTCCTTGACTTCAAAAGATTGTAGCTTAGAACGGAGAGCAGATTTGATGGTAGGTGGTAAACTATGATATAACGTATCCCTTGCGTTTGGAGGCATTGCACATGATCGAGAAACCTACCAATCGATCAATCCTTATTAATATATTGTAAAGAAACTGAAGTCAAAGCGTTCATCACATTAAGACAAGCTGCCACCAAAGGATGTGATGCCAATTTATAGAATAAACCACAATTGGTTACAGTCCTTGTAATAGTGCTCATTTTCTGACAGTCTTCAAACAAGCAATGGGATTTGATTGAAGACTTATTGCAATAAATATGGTTGATGTAGAAGGTTCACCAAGTTATCTTCTAATATATTGTCAAAAAATGTTATCTTCTAATAACAATATAGTTCAATAAGACATCTAGAAGAGTATGTGAACTTACAATATTGTCAATATGATTGATGATATTAGCGTAATGCAATGCGAGGCCTGCTGGTCCCAATCTATCAAGGTGTTTGGCAGTTTCTTGTGGCTCTTCACTGTCTGCAGTAAGATAGAAGCAAGAAACTTTAGAGCAATGCCACAGATCACGGAGTCAAGAATCATTGTTGCTTCAGTAACATTACCAAGGAAAAAATGGGGAAAGAAAAGAGTTTTCTTAGCATGTAGGCAAGAAAGACATCTTTTACCCAAAAAGGGAAAAAAATCGTTGGACAAGTCACAGCAATGGCTAGCAATGAAGTTAGGAAATAGATGCACTCTGCAGTTTATATGGGTCAAACGTTACATTTCTAACAACAGGAGGAACACCTTCTCCCCGCCAGACGGCTGCTGGTCTGCACCGCACAGAGAAGAGCGGAGGGCTTCCGATGGAGAACGAGGTGGAGGGATGCGCCTCCCCAACTGCTGCCCGCAGGGAAAATAGCATGCCCGCCGCCCGTGGGGGAAACCGCATGCCCGAGATCCCCGACGCAGCGGACGAGATCGAGGTCCTCCGCGCAGCTAAGCGCAACTGGCGGCGGGTCCTGTGCGGAGGCCGAGGGCGCCGCGCCCGTGCTGTCCAGCGAGGGCGACGCGGCGGAGAGCGTCGGCATCAGGCTGCCGCCGTGGAACAGGGGGCCGTCCACCCCGCCGTAGAGGACGCCCGGAGCCGGGGCGCCGCCATGCGCCATGACAGCCCCGGTGGTCGGGAGCGGCGGTAGGTGCGGCTGGGTACTGGGCGCCGTGTAGATGGGTTTCGACAAACCGGCGATCCAAGCCGGAAGCGGTGGCGGCGGCAGTTGCTGCTGCGTGGGCGGCGGTGGTGGGATCGGCTGCGGTCCTTGCGGTCCCAAAAGGAACGCATGAATCCCGGCCACCATCTTGCCGAGGTCGAGCACCGCTGCCGTCAATTCGGCGTTCGACATGACGCCAATGGCGGAGGGAGACGCCCCCGTGGCCATCGACAGCGAGGTCTCGGGAACGAGCGACAGGGTTCCCGCGGGCAGAACCGGCTGGGACGTCCGCGGGTCAGGCAGCTGCGCGACGGCGTGGGTGGCCGGCGGCAGAGTGGTGGAGGTGGGCAGCGAGGTCGACATTGGAACCGAGATCTCTGATACCAGATTGTTATGTGGCTGGAGGATTGAGAGGGAGAGGCGAGGGGAGCGACGGCGGCTGACGCGCTACAGTACCCGCGGCGCTACAGTGCCGCGGGTACTGTTCACGGCTAGGGCTGCGAGGGAGAGAGAGAGCCGGCCGCGGGGCGTTCGCCCACGGACGGGCAAGAGGGAAGGGATTTCCTTCTTAATTCTTGCTTGATTAGATCGATACATCTCTTCTCCTTATATAGAGAGGTTTACTTGACTCCCAAGCAAGGCTTAATTGACCCTTAAGTAAGCGACCCTTATCTCTAATTAACCCTAACACTAATGGGCTATACAGCCAACCCAGGCCCAATAGGCCCCTGACGTACTCTAACACCATACAAGTTCTGTACAAATATATGATACAGAGTGGATTTGGCGCCCTCCTTATCTGGAGCCTACATCTTAATTAATAAAAATAAATGGAAGCAAACAGAGCTAACGGAGCTGTCTTTCTCTTCCTCACTGCTCACACCGCCGCCCGTCTTCGTCACCGCCAATAAGCACGCCAGCCATGGCCCTGCTCCTCCCCATGACCTCCTCTGCTCTTCCCTGTCTCCTCCTAGCCTCCAGCTGCTGCATCATGAGGAGGAGGGGCGGATCCAACAGATGCCTCCGCTCCCCACGACCTCCTCTGCTCCTCCCCATCTCCTCCTGGCTCCAGCTATTGCATCACTAAGAGGAGGGGCTGCCTCTGCTCCTCCCCATCTCCTCTGGATCCAGCCGCTGCATCAAGAAGAGGGGCAGCTGCAGCATCACGAAGAGGGGCTGCCTCTGCTCCCCACGACCTCCTCTGCTCCCCATCTCCTCCTGGATCCAGCTGCTGCATCACGAAGAGGGCGCTAGGGTCGTGCTCATGGGGAGGCACACGCACGCTTACAGGGAGTCGTGCTCATAGGGAGGCGCAGACCGGGGCAGAGAAACACGAGACGAGGAGGGAGGTGGAGGAAGAAACACCGTCACAGGCTTCTGTCAAAAGTGAATCTCAGTGCGTCTGGCAACGGCTCCAGATAAGGAAGGCGCCATATATTTATCGTATATGATAGTGGTATGGGTGCACATTTTCACCCTCCCAGAATTGCAACTAAGTTTAAACCAACATTTTGCTAACAGGACTAAACAATGTAGGTGCATCAGGTAACCTGCGTTAGTTCGAGTGTTTTTAGATCAGTATTTTGCAAAACAAGACAAACAATAAACAAATATTAACTACCTCAAGTATTCATAATATCTTAAAGCCAATATGAAGTATAATATAAAGGAAAAGGAGACATCCATTTATGATTTTTGGATTGATCAACTGATTGCAGGAACAATAGACTTAATCAAATACATCAGAATGTATTCTCAATTCTCACAGCATATATGGGGTTACCAGGGTGGGTCTGTCTGATATGATAAAGTAAACATAAGAAATATCATTAAGACAAGGAAAATTTGTTTATTGTTTCCACAAAGCACCACAATCAAGAAACACTAGTACTCAACAGCAGTTCAGACTGTGCAACAACAATAAGTAGGATCCATAGGTAAGGATTATACCAGGACGACCGAAGGTGTTGTATATCTCCAAATGTAAGAAGTGGACAATATCTACAAGCTTTATCATCACCTGAGAAAAAATGTAATATTTAGACCTTGAAATAAGATGGTAGGAAAGGATGCTTGCAGTTTGAGCAGGGTCC